CCCCCCACTCGCCCACCCTATCCGACATACTTTTGGGTTTTCCCCCCTTCACCCACTTTGTTCAACCAGTGCCTACAATGAATCATATTTCTATACATAGGAAAACAGCGCACACTGTGTTGGAGCAGTACTGTCCGACTTACACGTGCAGGGTAGTAAGAGAAAGAAAAGAAATATAAGAAAGAAATGATTGAACAGAAGGAAAAGAAATATATAAGAAAAAAAGGAAAGAAAAGAAAGAGAAGAAATATAAGAAAAAAAGAAAAGATGAAAAAAAAAGAAAAGACGAAAAGAAAGAAATGGAAAAAAAGAAATATATTTAAAAAATAAGAAAGAAAAGGCAGATAAGAAAGAAAAGACGGAAAAGAAAGGAAACAAAGAACAGAAAGAAAACAAAGAAAACAAAAATAAGAAAGAAAAGACAGATAAGAGAGAGAAGAAAAATAAAAAAAGAGAAGAAAAAGAAAAAAAGAGAATGAAAAAAAGAAACGACAGAAAAGAAAGAAGGGAACTATAAGCAACAACAACAACAAAAAAAAAAGAAAAATAAGACAGAAAAGACAGAAAAGACAGAAAAGAAAGATAAGAAATTAGTCACTGAAGTCATCGCTGTGAACGGGAACTACAACAAACAACATAACTGGGTCGTTATAAATAGATCACAGTACAGAGACAAGTGGTGGTGCAATCTCTTTGTTTTTGTAATTGTTTCAGTAATAAGAGTTTTACGGCACTTATAACATAATAAGGTCATATAAAAATGCAATCATTTCAAAAAACAAATTTTCCCAAAAGGAATGAAAAGAATGGTTGAAGAATAGACACTGGTTTTCTTCTTCTTCTTCTTCTTCTTCTTCTTCTTCTTCTTCTTCTTCTTCTTCTTCAAGTGTCAAATCTGAAAAAATGTATTCAACGGTCGTGCTTTGTCATTCGTTTTTCTGTTCGAAAGCTTAAAAAAAGTATAATTATCTTGTTCTGTTCCCATCATCCATCCGGGTAAAGTCGATATATATTTTTTTTTTACATTTTAAAATTTGCTGTTTGGTTTTTGGTGGGAGGGTGTTCAACAAATAGAAAACGGGTAACTTTCATGTATTGTTTTTCACTCTTTCAAAACGATAACGCACAATCAAGAGCCCCCCCCCCCCCCCTTAAACAAAGAAACCGAAACCCACACACACACACACCCACCCACACACACACACACACACACACACACACACACACACACACACACACACACACACACATACGCACACACACACACACACACACACACATACACACATACACGATTACGAGTCCGGTAGTGAGATCTAATGAAAGGATGGGGGGCGGGGCGCATAGGGGCCAATATTTAAAAATCTATGTGGTTTTTTTTAGCTCTTTTAAACTAAAAGCACACACATGAAAGTCACTCCTCCCGCTCAATCCACCTCCACAAAAGAGAATTAATTTTGGAAAAAATGTACCCCCCCCCCCCTCTTCATCTTTTTAGAAAAATGAGGAACCAAACACAAAAACAAAGCGGTACAACCAATTAGTTATGACGAAGAGCTTCTAAAGCAGGAATTTCTCTCCTCAAACTCGGAGCCTGACGTTGAAAACGAGAGACAAACCCAGAACCTCTTTGAGGAAGGTCTTCGTTGAGCAAAATTCTAAGAAATCTTTAGAACTGCAGATTAGATCTAGAACGGTACCGGTCAATCTAAGCTGAACAACTTTATGCACGTGCTGTGTAGCTGTTTAAATCATCAGGGACACATTGCAACTTCAATTCGTTAAAATTTGATAAATAGTGAGCATTACTGCAAGTGTAATATTTTATCGATTTGAAATGTTTTTGTTTTGAATGAAATGCAGTGAACTACTTCTTGAAATTCAGTAAACTATATTTATTGATAAAAATACAAGAGCCTGCATTAGTGCTAGTAGTATGCCTGTTCAAAGAAAACATTTGCAAATGCCTGAGTCACCCCATACCGCAGTGGCTAAGGCTCTTTTCTGTCATATTTTTAAAGAATAGGACTTATTATTAATATTTTCTCCCAAAAGAGTCTAGATCGCTCCTATTCAATTGTCCCCCAAATTCAAACCCAAAAATTATCAACTTAAACTCATGACTTTTTCAAATTATGAATCCTGGAAGCATTAGTCACCATTCATGATGTTACCGTGACTTCTGTTGTGTGTCAAGTGGTCTTATCTCATTCCTTGCTTGGTTTTGATAAGATTTTTACCGTACTAGCAACACAAGTAAGACGACGTAAATATGTGTCGAGTAGTAGAAGTCTGATTGTTTGTTTGTTTGTTTGTTTGTTTAGTTTGTTTGTTTGTTTGTCTTTGTTTTTGTTTTGTTTTGGGTTTTTTTTTTGGGGGGGGTATGTGTTTTACGGCGCTTGCAAATGCATAATAAGGTCATATGAGCGCGCGGGACCCATTAAACATTTTCAGTTAGGAAATTTTGAATTTTGCCCAAGTGGCGGCCGAAGCCTACTCTTATCGATTTTGGACAACCAAGGGATCTTTAACGTGCGCAACTTGCACAAGGGATCTCCGAGATTTTATACACAAATAACATATTTCTACTAGGAATGTGCTCAATTGGCTTTACAATAGGGAAAAAACCACCTATGTGTCACAACGCGGTAGAATCAGGCACTCGTCCAATGTTTAACAAAATGGAGTTATTAATATCATCTTTTAAGGCTTGCTCATTTGTCTTACTTTTGATTTTTTTTAAAAACCATCTGTCTTGATTAGAAGTCGAAATAATTTGCGACTGAAAGACGTGGGGGTCATCTGTCATTCAGCGTTAAATTAGTGAAAAAATGGCTGCCCAAATTTGGTGATTTCCAAAGCTTGAATGTCTTTGAAAACCATAATCTTACTTGCGTTTTTGTATTTGTTAGTTGGTTTGGTTGGCAATTTTCAGCAAATTCCACGCAGGTCGTTTATTTAAAGGGACATTTTAATAAAAGGTGTTGCGCCAAAAAGAGAAAAATAAAGGAAAAGATTGCACACCGACCAGAAAAATACCGTTTTCTTTGATTTCGTTATTTTGACAAACATGTAATTT